TTGGCTTGTTCTATTTTCGCGACGTGGTACAGGCTACGAAATACTGACAAGCTCAGCATATGTCTTCACCACCGAGAGTCACTTGCCCTTAGCCGGACACGCCCCTCACGTATTCTGTTTCGTTCCTAAAGTTATTTCAAAGCACAGAACCAAACCTAATCAGCGGCCGAAGGCAGAAAGGGGGATGAGCAAACGGATGTCACAGCATATTTTGCAAGAAACTGGTATCCTTGTGCCTATCGGCTCAGGAACGATTGATTACTACTAGATAGAATTAATATCAGGGTCAGAATTTGAGTGCTACAATGGGAGGGAAGGAAGAAAAAGAATCCGCCGCGCACACCTGTTAAGTCTTTTATAAACTTTCTCGTCCTGACGGTTTCAAAGAAGGTTGTTGTGGCTGCTATTTAATTTACAGTGTCTGTTGCAGGTGTCGAATTAATCTTACAGCAACTGGAAACGTGGCCACGCCTGCTGAAACTGAGATTGCTTGTAGGATGAACAACTATAGTTTGGTATATTCACGAGCGCGTTTTGTCTAGTTAACTGAGTGCGTAGTTTTTCTTAACGAAGGGATGGGCTGGGTCAAGTGAGTAGTTCGGGGAAAGTTTGCTCTCTTTAGGGGGGGGGGGTATATATTTGTTGATAGCAGGAGTTCTGGCCTAGATAGAGTTGTTGTAAAGCTATTTTTGCTTCGGAGTATCGGGTTACCGGAAGCTGAGCAAGGAAAAGTTAATGGTGCATTTATGGAATAATAATAGAGATTCTCATGGTCTTACAGTGCGAAGATTAGACTTCTGGTAAAGTGGCAACGATCAAGGCCCGCATTATAATTCATGATAATTGAAGGTCATGATGTGGAAAAAGCGACTGAAATGGTGGATTGCATGGCATCCACCATTTCAGTCGCTTTTTTCGGGTGGGGGCTGCGTACCTGGGCTTAACGGTTGCCCCTGCGACAGAAGGCAAGCATGCCCAGATTGTCCACGGGTTGCTAAATGAGACCGTCCCTTTCTTAGTACCCATTCCCTGTCTTATAATTAGACCCGGGCAAATTTCTCGAGATTGCACCATCATTTTGGGCTTAAAGCTTCCAAAGTCCAACAATAATAGCGCATGTTCGCGACAGTTTTTTAAGTCAGTCAAGTTCTTAAACCAGGCCTTAAACGGCCAGTTTTAAGTGTCGATACAGTTAAAAAAGGCATACAAGCCTCATGCAAAAGACAGTGGGAAGGAAGTGCACATCGGTGATGGGGAAAAAGGAGTAGCCCACAGTTATTTAGGGGTGGATCTTTCGAGACATTCTTATACTCTTGGACAGATATGCATTGTTTAAAGTTTTAGACAAACCAGGTGTAAATTTATAGTAACAAACTGTTAAATATACATAAGCAAGATTTTTGCGAATCCTATTTTTCGCTGGAGACTATCGTTTACTGGCTGGTCACGCAATCAAAGGTAACGTACTTTCCCACGTTTGTTTACTCACCTTTCGCTCAGCAATACACTGCGTTCCACAAAGGACCCAAATTGCGCTAGAAATGTTTTGCTATTCGGCCCACTTTTTATCTCAGGTAAGGCACTGCAAAGCTGATTCACTTACGAAGATTCGAGGGAGAATTATTTCTTGATTTTATTCTGATTTAATTCTACCGCTACAACTCAATTTGAACTTCTCAAGCTTTCAGGGGACATCAGTAGTAACCCAGGACCAGAGAAAGGGGACGCTTCTAATCACTCGAAATCTATTTGCGGTGGTTGTTCAAAGACCCTTCGAAGAAACCAAGATGGCGTCCGTTGTGCGGGTTTGTGTGGAAAGACGTTTCATGTGAAGTGTTCTGGTGCGAGCTTTAAGGAATTACGTACTCGTGATGTACAGGCTTGGTACTGTAGTAAATGTTCTCTACCCCCACTAAGCGACAGCTTTTTCGAAGATTCAGACACCGAAGGAGATATTGATCAAGTCCAAGTCGAAGGTGGAACGGAGGCTGAAAATGAAATATGGGCCGACTTTGATCAGAAGGCTAATAATCATCGATCAAATCTCAAACTAGGACACATCAACGCGAACAGTATTGGCGGTTTCAAATTCAATGAGATTAAGACTTGGCTACAATCTGGTAGGCTGGATGTTTTGATAATATCCGAAACTAAAATAGATGCTACTTTCCCTAACTCTATGTTTCACGTTGAAGGTTTTCGTTTGAGTCGTCGTGACAGAAAGGCTGGAGGAGGTGGATTGATGGTGTTCGTAAGGAGTGATATCTGCTTTATTAGAGTTAAAGAGCTCAAAGGGCTCTCTTCTGATACATGGTCAACCTTTAAAACGGAGTCGATTGTTTTGAAAGTCAAACTACCGAGGACTTGGATTACTGTTGTGGGCATTTACCGACCTCCCTCGATTGTGAGATCTCAGTGGACGCGTGAACTCTCTGTTCTCTTCGAAGCAGTTTCCTCGCTCACAAACACGGTTTTCCTAGCAGGAGACTTAAACGCGGACCTTCTTGCTCCTGATAAACAACACAGAGACGGTCGGGCTCTACTAGATCTGCTAGATATTTTTAATCTTGATTGTTTGATTACGGAACCAACTCGCACAACAAAAACAACTGAAACACTGCTGGACCTAATCCTGACGAATGACAAGAAAAAGGTCTTAACATCAGGCGTGGTAGACACGCAACTTAGTGATCATTCGTTAGTTTATACTATCCTGCGATCATCAGCACCAAGGACTCGATCTCGCAAGATTTGTTTTCGTAGTCTGAAAAACTTCAGTCGAGAGAACTTTGTGCATGATATGCAAATTGTGCCTTTCCACATAATTGATTTGTTTGATGAACTTGATGATAAGCTTTATGCTTTTGAGCAATTGTTTCTAAGTGTTCTCAATGAACACGCACCTATCAAGCAAACAATGATACGTGGTAATCAGGTGCCTTATATGACGGAACAATGGAGGAGGGCGATCAGGCATCGCAACAAACTGTGGAAAAAATTCACGCGCAATCGTACTGATGCAAATTACGAGGCATACAAAACTCAACGTAATACCTGCACCTCTCTTAGGCGAAAAGCAATAAAACAACACTTCGCGAGGAAAACAGCAGACACCGAACACCCGCTCGAATTCTGGTCTACTTTCCGCCCCTTTTTGCATACTAAAAGTAAGCAAGCCAATGACATTATCTTGAAAGAAAATGACAGGATTATTAGTGACAAAAAGGAGATTGCCAATCTGCTTAATGACTACTTTGTTCACATTGCTGACAGCATGCCTGAAATACGAGCAGAGGATTACGGTGAGGATTATGCAAATCATCCCAGCATCAAAGCAATCCATGAACACAGGGGCTCTAGTGCTCCAGCTTGCTTCAGTTTTCATCGCGCAAGTGAAACCCAGGTTGAGCTATTACTAAAAGAGATCAATGTACGTAAGTCACCTGGTCACGATATGATCCCACCAAAGTTGATTAAAGAAGCGGCAGCTGTTATTGCGCGGCCTATAACAAGTATAATAAACTGTTGCATTGAACATTGCTGTTATCCTGCTAGCTGGAAGATGGGCATGGTTACTCCTCTGTACAAAAAAGACGACGAGTTTTGTAAGATCAACTATAGGCCCGTAACTGTGCTCCCTGCTCTAAACAATATTTTTGAAAGGCTTCTATCGGGGCAGATGTATGAATTTTACAATGGGGTCTTATCAGACTTCATAAGCGCTTATAGAAAGTTTTATAGTTGCGAGACCTCTTTGCTAAGGTTGACCGAGGACTGGAGAATGATGCGTGACAGGGGGGAGCTTGTTGCGGTAGTTTCTATGGATCTCTCCAAAGCGTTTGATGTTATTCAGTATCCACTCCTCCTTTCGAAACTGAGGGCCTATGGTATGGACGACAAAAGTTGTGCCCTAATTAGGAACTATCTCTCTGGCAGAACTCAGAGAGTTAAAGTTGGAGACACCTTTTCGACCTGGGAAAGCGTCAAGCGTGGGGTCCCGCAGGGGAGTGTGTTAGGTCCCATGCTATTCAACATTTTCATAAACGATCTTTTCTTCCACGTCAAGAAGGCCAAGTTGAACGCTTATGCGGATGATCATCAGGTATACTACTCCCACGTCGATCCGGCAGCTCTGGATGCATGCGTATCTCATGATGTTGGCGTGGCCAATCAGTGGTACCATGAAAATGGGATGTTAGTTAATGAAAGCAAGCACCAGTGTCTAATCCTCGGTGATACGGAGTATGGTTTTTCCTTCCCAGTAAAGGACACGTTAGAGATTTTTGGAATGGAAATAGATAATAATCTGAGTTTTTCTAAACATATATCAAATGTATGCAAAAAGATTAATAATCAATTTAATGTTATGTTGCGCTTTAGAAAACTCATACGCAAGGAAATCTTATTCAAACTTTACAAAGCGTATATTTTACCTCACTTTTATTATTGCTCCTCTGTCTGGCACTTTTGTGGAGCGCGCGATGCAGATAAGCTCGAAGCTTTAAATAAAAGAATACTTAGATTTATACTTGGAGATTACTCGTCTCCATACAACACTCTTCTCTCAAAAGTCAGCTCTACTTCTTTGTTTAACAAACGCATTCAAAATTTCCTCATTCTGTTATATAAGAGTTTGTTTTTCACTCATTTTCCTACTTATATGAAGAATATGTTTTCACTCCGGTCCTCTTCCTATGATCTTCGTGGCAACTACATTCTTTCACTAAGTAAACCTAAAACAACTACCTATGGTCTTAACTCCTTTTCTTACTTTTCAGCTAAGCAGTGGAATGCACTGCCGGACTTTTTTCGTACAAGTTTTTTTGCAGACTTTAAGACTAAAATACAGGATGTTACCTTCATGTAGATTCTTTTTGCCTGACATACTTAAACTTAAAATTGTGAATTGTAAATGATATTTTCTTTCCTTGCATTTAATGTATATATATTTTCTATATAGTTTTTATGTAGTGTCAGCTCGAAGATATTAGCTTGTTAGC